TATGTGTCATGGATCAATCAATTTCAATATTATCCCTAATTTTTGTTTATCACTAACAGATGTTAAACTATTTGAAGCAATAAAGCTTCAGTAATAATTATATGGATATGATTTTCTTCTAGGATTGAAAGCAATAGTGTTAACCCTTAGAATTCATTTTAAGATAATAAATACCTTATGCCGGAGAATAAAATAAATATTCAGCCAATAGAAAAAATGATAATAATAGAAACAAATTTGTTAGCATCAAATATTACTGCAAATAGAATAATCCAGTGAAATGAAATAATATTTTCAAACCAATAAACATTAACTACAGTTATAATCCCAAAGCCTATAGTTAACCAATATATAGATCAAATCATTCAAACACCGGATGTTAATGTTGAAGTTAGATTTAATCATAGAACACAATAACTTAATCCTATATTGTAGGGACTCCAATCAAATGGTTGGAGCATCCTTCTTCCTTTTTCAATGCAAGAGAAAGTCACTACCTTCATTAAAATATCATGAAAGGGGGTTCAATGATAAAGAACACTTTAGTATACGAATTTCATAAGAAGGTTACAAGAACCTAACTATTGATAGAGTTTTGGGAGTTAATTGAACTTGTTGAAGCTATTGTTCATAGCGATATAAAGCTTAGAGGTAATTGCACTCAATAATTCCTTAAATCAATCTCTATATGTTTGCTATACATTGTTAGCTTACAGTTTTATTTAGGTGTTATTTTAATCCTTGATTTTGCAATGCAGATTCAAGATCAATTTGTGTCCACAATTCAATTTGTATAAAATTTCTCATGGACTTTCTTCTTGTAATTAATCAAGCTAATAAAAGGCAAAAAGAGTTCTTTGCGGACCCTGGGAAGTGCATGACTTTCATCTTCTTAAAGCACTTCCAAGCACTCAATTAGCATAAGACTAATATTTCTTCCTCCTTTCAAAAAACTTTAAAAAAATTAAATAACACCTCCTAAAACATTGAAATAATCCAATCAATCATTTTCATGACTCTAGAAAGTGCAAAGATTCTTCTCATTGGAGAAATTTCAAGAAGCACAGACTAACCGTTCTTCAGATCTTGTTAGCTATCAATTTGCTTATAGCAAGAACTTTTTAAAGCAGAATTTCCAACTATTACTCTGATGATTATTTTGGATAAGCTTGATAAGCCATGGAAATGTTGAAATTTATGTTTCACAGAATTTATATGATATTAAAAATAAATAAAGGAATTGACTCGCAGAAAAAATGGTTGATATCATAAACTGCCACCATTTCAGAAGGGTACTAATATCTCACTCAGGCATCCTTGCAAGTTTTTTGCCATGTTTACATATGCAAAACACAGTTTATTGAAGCTGTGGATATGTCTCACTTTCCCGTAGCCCATTAAGAGAGTGGATGAGCTTCACAATTTCCAGAGTCATTTTTTAATATATGGGAATTTACATACATACCACACAATTCTTATGTGTTTACATATCTAACACCTAAAAATTCATATTTACATGCATACCACTGAAGTCTTTAGCATAACATCAAACATACCACCATAAATACCTTGTTAAAAGTGACATACACCTTTTCATGCAGAGGTTTATACCGTCAAGGCGTTAGAAGTGTAAATATCAAACTTTGGGTGCTAGGTACGTAAATGGCATGTATGTAAATTTCCCTTTTATATATTGTCAAGGGTGTGAGGCTTATGTGAGAAAGGGAAGAGATCTTAAGGGTGTGAGACTTAGGAGAGAAAGGGGAAGAAATTTTAAGCTACCACAAAATTAGAAGTGTAAATATCAAACTTTGGGTGCTAGGTACGTAAATGCATAAGAATTGTGTGGCATGTATGTAAATTTCCCTTTTATATATTGTCAAGAAGCATGTAATCTATTGTTATTTTGACCCCCAATTAATGAACTAAGGTAAAAGGACACTTTTGTAATGTGGTACCGCTCACC